GCTGTCCCTGAGTGTTTGTGCTCAAAGGTAGTGCTCTACCATTTGAGCCACAGCTCTACTTATGGCTTTTTGGTGATTAATTGAAGAATCTCACAGACTTTTCTGCCTTCCTTTATATATTGTTAAGTAGGGGAAAAAGATATAAAGTGGTGTACGTAGCATATTGTCATTTATACAAAAATTGCAATGAGAGATGTGGAATACAGGTGATCTATAATTTAGATAGCTCTTTCCATATATGTACAAAATAGATCATTCTTTCCATCTATTAACATATATATATATATATATATATATATATATATATATATATATATATATATGCCACATGCTGGTGGCTCATGCCTGTAACCCTAGCTACTAAGGAATCTGAGATGTGAGGATCCCAGTTCAAAGCCAGCATGGGCATGGAAAGCCCATGAGACTCTTATCTCCAATAAACCATTCAGAAAGCCCAAAGTGGCGCTGTGGCTCAAGTGGTAGAGTGCTAGCCTTGAGCTGAAGAGCTGTAGGACAGCACCCATGCCCAGAGTTCAAGCCCCATGATCGACAAAAAAAACAAAAACAAAAAAAGTAACATACAATTATTTTCTTCACATATACTTGTGTGTATATATTTCTACTAATATGTATATATACATTAATATTCATACATGTGAATATACATGTATGAACATTTAAGCAAGCACACACATGTGCATATATATGTGTGTATACACATATACCCATTCGGAATATAAAGGCAATCTTCAGGGATGGGGGTATAACTCAGTGGTAGAACATGTACGGAACATGTGCTTAGCATGTGTGAGGCCCTGAGAGTCATCTATTAAAAACTACTTTCATGCTGGTACCAGGGAGGAAAAACAAAGCTGTTTTCAGATGTTTAAGAATACACTAAACATATGGGTGGGTGTTTTGGGAGGCAGAAAAATAGATGCAGGTTGAGTAAAGTCTGCAGGAAGTTAAGAGAAAGATACTAATTTATACATAGTTGATTTACATGGAAGGAATCACCAGGAAGGCCTAGTTGTAGTTCATGAAAGAAACAGTAGTGATAAGGAGAAATTTACTTGGTAACATGAAAAGCAATAGGCTTTTTTGCTTTAAATCATGAAATTATTTCAAACATTGATGCATTTTTTTAATCTAGAAGTTTGAAATGGATTTTTTTTAAGGAAAATATCTTCCATGTCTCTAGTTCACTTATAAACATTTGAAATTTATTCACAATAGCTTTTAATGTCTGTGTCTGCTAATTCTAACATCTTTGTCAGTTGTGGGTTGGTTTTCTATGATTTTTCTCCCTCATAATAGATTGTGTATTCTTGCCTAACTGTATATCTTTGACAGGATGTCAGGCATTATAAATTCTATCTTGTTAGGTCTGGACATCTTTTTATTTTTATATTCATGAGCATTGCTCAGGACATAAATTACTTGAAAGCCATGCTATCCTTTGAGTCTTGCTTTTAAGATTTATTAGATAGCATTTACTATAGAATTTATTTTATGGTGAAGTTTTCCTCCAGCTGAGTGAAAATGCTTTTGAGTCCTTCACCCAGATGCCCTGTGAATTAGAGCCCAGGCTAATACTGTTGTGTAAGAGCTGGAAATTGTTCCCTCTGGTCCTCTTAGCTGGATCCTTCTTCCCTAGGCATGTGTAGTTTTCCCTTCCTCATGTACTAATTGATACTTTGTGGAATGCTGGAGGGGTGAGGTTCTACACAGATCTCTAGAGTTTTCTCTCCTCTCTGGTACTCTGATCTACAGACTTAGGCTCTCCCCACACTCTTCATAACTACCTTGGCTCAGGGAATCCACCATGTTCCTCTGGAGTCCCCTAAGTATATAACGGCCTGAAAGGCAGGATATAGAATAATTGCATGGCTCACTTTATTTCCCCTCTCCCCTTTTTTTGAGACAGGGTTTTTCTATGTAGCCCAGGATGGCCTTGAACTCAAATGCTGATGTTTTATCCTCCCATGTGCTGAGATTAAAGATGTGTGCTTCTATGTCTAGCCTATTTTTTTTTATTTCTTTCTTTCTTTTTTTTTTTGTGTCCGATCGTGGGGCCTAAACTCTGGGCCTGGGCCTGGGCGCTGTCCCTCAGCTCTTCAGCTCAAGGCTAGCGCTCTACCACTTGAGCCACAGCGCCACTTCTGGGTTTTTTCTTTTTGCTTATGTGGTGCTGAGGAATCGAACCCAGGGCCTCAGGCATGCAAGGCAAGCGCTCTACCACTGAGCCAACTTCCCAGCCCCAAGCCTATTTTTTTTTAAACATAAAATCTATTCCCCTATATTTCTTTATCTACCTTTGCTTATTTCTTTACTTCTTATTTTGGAAGAGTCTACTTACAGTTCTCTTGCTATTTTCTTTTCAGTTGTGAAGCTTGAACTCAAGCCTGGGCTCTGTCCCTGAGTTTTTTGCTCAAGTCTAGTGCTCTATCACTTTGAGCCACAGCTCCACTTCAGGCTTTTTAGTGGTTAATTGGAGAGACAAGTCTCATGGGCTTTCCTGACCCATTGGTTTTGAACTGTGATTCTCAGATCTTAGCCTCTTGAATAGCTAGGATTACAGGCATGAACCACCAGTACCTGGATACTGTTTTTCCTTTCTTTTCCCCTTTCCCCTTCCCCTCCCCTCCTCCCCTTTCCTCCTCTCTCCTCCTCTCCCTCCCTCCTTCCCTCCCTCTCTTTCCCCTTCTTCTCTCTCTCTCTGTAATTTCATTGCTCTTGTGGGAAAAGCTACTTTATGAAGAGATGAGGTTATCCAGCTAGAGTTGTCCTATATGTTCAGTCTGGATTGTAGCCTGACATCATCCTTTCTCAAAACTGCCTGGTCCTCTGCTCAGGGCAGAGGTCCTCTTCCCTTAGCTTGCCTATATTTCATCTTCACTTGGGTCAGCAGTACCAAGAAGAAATTTCCTTAGCCACAGGTCCTCTGGGCGGTAGCTATGTAAGCATTTTGCTCAACAAACTTTGGTTGGCAGCTGCAACTTTGCTTTTATTATTAGTACTAGCATACATTTTTTTTTTTGTCGGTCATGGGGCTTGAACTCTGGGCCTGGGTGTTATCCCTCAGCTCTTCAGCTCAAGGCAAGCGCTCTATCACTTAAGCCACAGCACCACTTCCGGTTTTCTGGGTGTTTATTGGAGATAAGAGTTTCACGGACTTTCCTGCCCGGGCTGGCTTTGAACCGCGATCCTCAGATCTCAGCCTCCTGAGTAGCTAGGATTACAGGCGTGAGCCATCAGCACCCAGCTTTAGCATACATTTCTTTCAGGAAGAAAAGGAGCTGCTGTCACTACTTGTGTTCTTTCTCAGTCACTGGTTTTGAGGAGTGGTCCTGTCCCACCATCAAAACGGAGTGGGGATGGCAAAGACTATATGCTACAATAAGAACAATATTTAATGGGCTGGGAAGGTGGCTTAGTGGTAGAGTGCTTGCCTAGCATGCATGAAACCCTGTGTTCGATCCCTCAGTACCACATATACAGAAAAAGCCAGAAGCGGTGCTGGGGCTCAAGTATTAGAGTACTAGCCTTGACCAAAAGAAGCTCAAGGACAATGGCCGTGCCCTGTGTACAAACCCCACGACTAGCATATAACACGTAATAAATTTAATAAATCAAAATAAAAAACAACAATATTTAACACTGGGGACACACTTATCCTAAGACTCCATGATCTCTTATGGGAAGGATAACTGCATCTCTAAAATAGCCAGACAAACCACTTTTCTGCTTAAAGTGATTCATTCATTGGTTTCCACCATCCTCAAAATTCCATTTGTATATCTGTGACTGGTCATCACACCCCACACATTCACCCCACACATTTTCTAGGCTTTCTGTGACATTCTCAGAATATGCCATTTTCCATCACGACTTCCAAGTTTCTGCAGCAAAAACTTCTTGCCTTGGGAATTTCTTTACTTTTCATAGACCTACATGTTATCTTAAATTTGCCTTCTAATTTGTTTATAGTCATAGTAGACATAATGATTATGTTTGAGGTAAATGAGAAGCTGTGACAAGAAGAATATAAAGTAATGTTTTCTATTGTTTGGATTTAATTACATTTGGATTGGCAGTAAAGAAATAGCCATTAGGGAAATCTGTTGCTGGTTCAGCTAGAGGCTGGAAAAGTAGAAATCATTCCTAATCTTGAAACCGGGGCTGGATGCTAATTGTACCTTCTGTGAGAAAATGATTTAATATGTCCTTTGGAGGACAAGTTGGCATAACACAAGTTTAGTAGTATGATTTAAAATTTCATGTATTTATATGACCTAGTAATACCACTCTTGGGCATCTACCCAGAGCATTATAAGTCAGAATAAAGATACTTGCATATCCATGTTCACTGCAGCACTATTCATGATAGGCAAGTTATGGAAACAGCCAAATGCCCTACAATCAATGAGTGGATCAAGAATGATACAAATGTAGTAATGTACATCATGGAATTTTACTTGCCCATTAGAATAATAATATGTCATTTGTAGCAAAATGGATGGACCTAGAACAAATCATGTTAAATGAAGTAGCTAGGCTCAGTGAGATAAAAGGTACATATTTTCTCTCAGATGTGGAAGCTAAATCTAAAATACAACTATTCATGGTAGCCTATATAGGGCCCAAAGCATTTATACACAAACAAACTGACTAAAGGAGGGTATACTTGGAGGAATCCAAATGTGTAACTCCTCTGAACAACTGCTTATCAAAATGAATCCCAGGAAGTGGAAATGTGTTTTAGGGGATGGGCAATGGGGGCACAGGAATTGGAGGGAGGGGTGAGCAATGTAGTCATTATATTCAATGTACATTATGTAAAAAATGAACTATGTAACTTGAGAATGGGAAAGAGAGAAGAAGGAGAATGAAGGAAGGGGTGACACTGACCAAGAAGCACTATACTCATAACCTGACTTATGGAATTGTAACCCTTTTCTACAACTATTCAAAAAATTTTTGTATATTTAAAACTTTACCTCTTAAAATGATTCACCAGGACTCCAACAAGTTCTCCAATTCGACTCTCATGTGTAGGCTGTTTGCTGAAAAGGCAGACAATAAGATCTTTGTTGTCTTTTGTATGGAACACTACAAGTTGGTCCTTTCCATTGGAAACACTCAGACCAGTCAACTGCAAAGAGACAAACATGAAAACTTGTTAGAATAGTTCTCAAAAGGATGAATTAAAAAATACATTTTGTAATGATTTTGGCTCACTAATGGTGACCTTAATGTTTATCAAGTTTCATGGAACAAGCAGATAAAAGGAAATAATAAAGATAGGAGCAGAAATGAACACGACTAGGAACATAAACAATATAGAAAATCAATAAAACAAAAAGATGATCCTTTGAGAAGATGAATAAAATTGATAAGCCCTTGGCCTAAAAGAGGAACATGCACTGAAGACTTTATTATCAATGTCATGAATAGAAGATTTCTATTACCAGAGAGCACATAGACACTTAAGTAGATGCAAAGGGATTATTTTAAACTCCATATACATCAACTTATTAAACAACTTAAGTGAAATCAAAAGCCACAAAGTACCAAAACCCATCTAAAAGAAACAGACTGACTAGTTCTATATCTGATGAGGAGGCTAAATTTGTAGATAAAAACCTTTCAAAAAAGAAAACTCCAGGCCCAGATGATTTCATAACTGAACTGTACCAAACATTTAAAGATTCCTAAGGAATCAAAAAATAGTTCCCAGAACAAATAATAAAGCTTAGTAAAGTCAAAGAATACAATGTCAATATAAAACATATTTCTATGTACGCTCAAAGAACAACTGGAAATAGAAATTTTAAAGTAAAACCACCTGTAAAATACTTAGATATAAACATAACAGAATATGTGTAGGACCTAAATGCTGATGAAAGGGCCAGGTGCTGGTGGCTCACGCCTGTAATCCCAGCTACTTAGGAGGCTGAGATCTGAGGATTGCAGTTCAAAGCCAGCCCAGGCAGGAAAGTCTGTGAGACTTTTATCTCCAATTAAACTACTCAGAAAATTGAACGTGGCACTGTGGCTCAAGTGGTAGAGCACTAGCCTTGAGCTGAAGAGCTGAGGGACAGTTTTCAGGACCAGAGTTTAAGCCCCATGACTGACAAAAACAAATAAAAAAAATGCTGCTGAAAGGGGGGAAAATCCCTAAAAAGGAAGAGAAAATAAGTTTACAAGTTGGGAAAGTCAATGTTAAGGTGGTAATTTTCCACAAAATTTTAAAATACTCTCAACTAATTACGTTTTTTTTGATAACTACAGGTTTAGGTTAGTCTTAAGATACTGATGTTTTTCTTACTCTTTTCTTCAAATCTTACTTTTCTTTTTCAGTTGCTGTGGCTATTCTCATTCCTTTACCTTTACATAATGTTTCACAATCAGTAATTGGTAAAGGAATAAAATCATAGATTAAAAATAGATCAACACAAATGTGATCAATGGCTTTCCTAAAAATGCACAACAAGAATTTAGTGGAGAAATGATAATTTGGACAACTTGAGAAGTTAGACATCCACATTCCAACAGAAAAAAAAAGTATAAGTCACACCCATTAAAAAATCAATTTAGGGGCTGGGAAGGTGGCTCAGTGGTAGAGCGCTTGCCTTGCATGCCTGAGGCCCTAGGTTCGATTCCCCAGCACCACATAAGCAAAAAGAAAAAAGCCGGAAGTGGCGCTGTGGCTCAAGTGGTAGAGTGCTAACCTTGAGCTGAAGAGCTGGGGGACAGCACCCAGGCCCACAGTTCAGGCCCCACAACCGGACCCAAAAAAAAAAAATCAATTTAGCCAGGTGCCAATGGCTCACACCTGTAATCCTAGCTACTCAGGAAGCTGAGATCCGAGGACTGTGGTTCGAAGCCAGCCTGGGAAAAAAAGTCCCTGTGACACTCTAATCTCCAATTATTCACTCAAAAACCATAAGTGGAACTATGGCTCTAAGTGGCAGAGTGCTGGCCTTGAGCAAAATTGCTCAGGGACAGTGCCCAGGCACTGGGTTCAAGCCCCATGACTGACCAAAAAACTATTGGGTACAAGTTGCTCATGCTTGCAATCTTAGCTACTCAGTAGCTAGAGGGTCATGGTTTGTACAGACAGAAATGTTCACTAGACTCCATCTTCGAAATAACCAGCAAAAAACTGGGCTGGATGCATGGCTCAAGTGATAGAGTGCTAGCAAGAGAAAGGCCCTGAGTTCAAACCCCAGCACTTCCAAAACTAAAATATAATACAAATAAAAAGTACTTACTTTGTGGCATCACATATACTAAAATTGGAACAATATAGAGAGGATTGGCATGTCCCCTATGTAAGGATGACATGAAAATTTGTGAAGTGTTCTATTTTTCAGAAGGACCAATGGGAGACCAGAGTCAAATTAGAGAGAGAAGATCAACAAGAACAAGTGGTTCTGGTTGAGCACTGGTGGCTCATGCCTGTAATCCTAGCTACTCAGGAGGCTGAGATCTGAGGATCGTGGTTCAAAGCCAACTCAGGCAAGAAAGTCTTTGAAACTATCTCCAGTTAACCACCAGAAAACCTGGAAGTGGAGCTGTGGCTCAAAGTGGTAGAGTGCTAGCCTTAAGGGAAAGAGCTCAAGGACAGTGCCCAGGCCCTGAGTTCAAGCCCCATTACCAACACACACATACACCACCAATACACATATACACATACACAGAACAAGTGGTTCGTATAGACGCTCTAGTTTTAGATGTTTTGTTTCCATTATTAATAATAATACCTCAAAAAAACAAAACAAACATGTATTTCAAAACAGACCATAGATCTAAATATGAAATGTAAAGCTATAAAACCTGTAGAAGAAAACATAAATATTTAACCTTACTTCACCAAAGAAGGACTATAAGTGGCAAATGAGCATGTGAAAAGAAATGCAAATGAAAATTAAAGCTATAGTAAGATGCTACCATAAACCCATCAGAATGGCTAAAAACAAAACAGAACAAGTAAGACCACCCCCACAATAATCACAATAATGAGGCAATGATGTTGAACAAATGGAACTCAAATATTAAGGGTGGGAATGGAAAATGGCACAGATACTGTGAAAATGGTATGGTATTTAACTCACAAAGTTAACTGCAGGATTACCATTTGACCTAGCAATTTCTCCATTAGGTATTTATCTTAGGGAAATAGAAACTTAAGCTCAAAACTGGACACAGTGGTACACACCTGAAATCCCAGCACTTGGGATACTGAAGCACAAGTATCTTTGTGTGTGTGTGTGTGTGTATGTGTGTGTGTTTTCATATATGTTTATAAGTTAGCTCTAACTTCCACATATGAGATAAAACCTGTGCCATTTGTCTCTCTGAACCTGACTTATTTCATTTAACATAATTTTTCCATCAATTTCTGGCAGGAGTATCTTGAGTTCAAGGTCAAGTTGGACTACACAGCAAGTTCAGGACAGAGAGACTGTCTCAACCAACCAACCAACCAACCCCTGCCCCAATAACCCAAAGCATACTGACATAAAAGTTATACATGGATATATATAGCAAATCTTAATTTATAACTGCTCCCAAATGGAAGCAATCTGAATGTCATCAGTAGGTGAATGGATAAACTGATACATCTAGAAAGATAATGGTATTCAGCAATAGAAAGGAACTTAATAATACAAATTATCAGTATGCAACATGTATAAATCTCAAAGGCATTATGTTGAGTAAAAGCAGACCAGCCTAGAAGGTGACATACTTATGATTTAATTTCTCTGAAAGCCTTCTAAGATGTTGGAGCTACTTTGTATCCTGTTGGTGACCACTGGTTATTACAAATCAATGTGTTAAGACTCATAGACTTGCATACTACCATCATTCACAAAGTCAATTGTATTTATTATATATAAATTTAAAATATTAATTATTATTTTTTGGGGGGGGGGCCCAATCGTGGGGGCTGAACTCTGGGCCTGGGCGCTGTCCCTCAGCTCTTCAGCTCAAGGCGAGCGCTCTGCCACTTGAGCCACAGCGCCACTTCCGGCTTTATATATATAAATTTAAAAGATATTGTTCTCCTTTTTTTTTCCAGTCATGGGACTTGAACTCAGGGCCTAGGCACTGTTCCTGAGCTTTTTTGTTCAAGGCTAGCACTCTACCACCTGAGCTGCAGTGCCACTTCTGGCTTTTTCTATGTATGTAGTACCAAGGAAAACCCAGGATTTCATGCATGCTAGGCAAGCACTCTACCACTAAGCCAACTCCCCAGCCTTAAAAGATATGGTTCTCTAGTTGTTTTGGCCCCAAGACATTATACTTTGGCTCAGAAGACAAAAGCTGGAGAGTTTTATCTTAGTTTCATGTTCTGTTACATTAAATACCAAAGCGCCACCTCCTGTTACTGGTGCCATCAGAAGGGTAGGCAATACATGCAGACAAAGTATCTACTGGGTAATGGCACAGTGCAGCACCTGGGTTGGGGCTGGACCTAGCAAAGATATTCAAGATATAAATCTTGCTCTTAAGGATCCATATCCAGCTGGATTTGTGGCAGAGAAAACATCAAACCACAGAAGAACACTTAAACTGTTATATAACTGGAAGGCCACACATTTTGCAGGTAAAGACACTGCAGCTCAAGGTTAGCTAATTGGCAAATTACCTTGAAACTAGAAATCAGGCTGTGGACTAACCTATGTTCTATTACTCCAGACTCTCTCTCTCTCTGTATACATGTGTACCTTTGGTATAGGGGACTGAAGTTAGGACCTCATGCAAGCTAGGTAAGCATGCTACTACTGAGTTATAGTCCTGTCCTATCATACTGCCTTTTTCGATTTCAAATATCATGTGTAAATGAATATAAGCTGCATACATAAGTACTCATATGAATAGATTTCCATATGAAGTGAGTTCTTAGGTTGCTTTTAATGAATGTCAAGGTCAGTGCTTAATGGAGAGAATGGAATAAATTTTAAAAAATTGGAAATCAACACTGTAGATCATGGGCTTTCTGAGGCCATTGGTAAGACAATATAGCAATTTTTCTGCCACTTAGATGTATTGCATCCAGATGATTTTTATGATTAAATTAAAAATATCATTTTCATTTTAAAAAACATTTTATGCCTAAGCTGCTTCATTCTCACTTGATTACTTTATTTGTGAAATCCAAAATTGAATTTATGCAGCACTTCATGGGAAAGCTTGATTAAAGCCTAATAAAATGAGAATTATACTAGCAGTAACTGCCAGTGCCTCCCAGGAGTGTTAGCTTGGGGCCTGGGAGAGGAGTGGAGGTGGTATGAGAGGTGGTATGAACCTGAAACCAGAGGATTACTGTCGAGACAGCCCTTCCTCAGCCACTACCTAGCCCCAGGGTGCGGGCTCCTCCTCCTTCCTTTCTCTATTCCTGTCAGTGAGTCTTTACCTGTGGTGGATAGGATTTAATTAATGTGTAAACCCAGGTCTCTGGACATGTCAAATCCAGAAAGAGCAATACCAAATTTGCTCTTCTACACAAAAATGGAAGGTCGCCTTTGTCCTGAGGCAGGACACACAGAGCCAGGGAAGGCTCCTTTTGTTCTGGAGCAGATGGTGAGTAGGGAGAGTGGTGGGTTAAAGGCAACCTAGGTTTGATGCCCAGTTCAGTCCACATGAGGTCAAGTATAATATCCTGGCACTTCTGTCTTGTCTTCTGTTAAGGAAGGATAATAGCAGGTGCCTTCACTACCCACAGGATTGTGGTGTGAGTCAGATGGTAGTAGCTCAGGTTCTAAAAAGGATAAAAAGAGCAAAATCCTCCCCCGCCCCCCTGGACCTACAAAGAGTTTACATTCTAAGTGAAGATAACGGACAGCAAGCTTTACAAGTTAGGGGTTAGAAACTTGGAAATACTGAATGGGAAGGGATGCCGCTCAACATCTCTGGGCAGCTCCAACACACAGTTCTGCTGAACAAAGAAAACTACCCACTGCTAGTAATCACCTCCTTGTTTTTCAGTCTATGGAGTGGGGGCTATGTGAGGATCCATCAGAACCTCTTTCTTTGCCTTTGAAGATTTGTTCATCAGGGTATATAGTCTCTGACTATAACCCATCTTGGTTCTCCCAACTCTCTCAAAAAGGAGGACTGAAATCCCATACAAGTGGACAAGTCTGAGGAGTGATAGTGTCCACCTTTGTAGCAGATTATGTGGGGGTACATGTGAGGGAGCAGAGTGCACTAGAGAAAAATCTCTAAATTGCATTCACATTTATGAAATGAGCACATAACAGGCCACTATTAGAAAAAAGAAGTGGTTCTGAAAGATATAATTGTGATAAACTGAATATATCTCTGAAAGTAGTAATAGAATAAGATACTACAGAAAATTAAAGAAATTAGATTGCTTGATGTCAGAAAGATTTGACTTTTAAGATAAAAGGCCCTCAATTGCATCTAGAAGAAACCCCCAAATTTCTAGAATGACAGGAAAAAAATATTTAAACATCTAGCACAAGAAGTTATTTACATAGGAAAATAAAATTCGTTTACTTTTTTACTTTTTGAGACAGGGTCTAGCAATGTAGCCCAGACTGATCTGCAACCCTCAATCCTCCTTAGTCTCCTGAATGGCTGAGATTATAGCTAAGGACCACCACATCCAGCCTTACTTGCTTCCTTAAAAAAATGTTTCTTCTATCTGAAATTGTAAGGAAGAATGAGGAAGGGGAGATAAAGGAAACATTAATTTTGTCATCATTTACAGAAAGAGATAAGTAAATTCATTTTATTGTAGGCGCTGATAAAGAAATATCAATTTAAATGCCTAACGGAACCAATATTAAATTAAGAATATATAACCCTCTATAGTAAAAGGAAAATAAATAAAAGTTAATTGATTTAATACCTAGAAAAATTAAGGAAGCAATGTGGGACTATGAAAAATAACATTAAAAATAAAATTTAAAAAACATGATTAAATTTAAGAAAAATACTGTTTCTTTGAGATGTAAATAGAAGGAAGACACAGATGAATTTAACAAAAAAATTCCATTCTTCTCTGTAAAATATGTAGTCAAAACAAAAAGGTATGAAAGATAAAAAAATAAAAGATGGTTGGATAAGTTGGGAAGCTGAGGTAGGAAGATTCCTCAAGCCCTGGAGTTTGAGACCCAATCTGGGCACCATATGGAACCCTTGTCACAAACAAATAATCAAGCAAGCAAACCAACCAGCCATTCAAAAGAGGGATGGGAATAGTAACAAAAAATGTAAAATCCAGTCAGGCCCTAGTGGCTCACACTTGTAATCCTAGCTACTCAGGAGGCTGAGATCTGAGGATCATAGTTTTGAAGCCAGCCCTGGTAAGAAAGTCTGTGAGACTCTTATCTCCAATTA